ATTTTGTTACTTATATATCTTAAGTATATTATTTATTTTATGTTCCAAAGGTAATGCCTTCTATTTTACTATGTTGGCCCATGGTGCCATAGGTGGATGTTGGTGGGATGGCAGCAGAGGTTGAACCTTCCCACCAATATTCCACGATGTTCTGTTGCTGTCTGACAGAGGGGCAAATCTGACAAAATGGCATCTTGATACATAAGTGTGTATGAAGCAAAGGTGTGGAACAGAAAAAATGGCACATTTGACATTCCTCAGAACTTACGAATGTTTATGGAGACCAAACAGCAGATGTGAGCACAGCGAGGCGCTGGGTGGTGCATTTCAGCAGTGGTGACGGTGCCTGTGGGTCACCTCCTCCAGTGCAGTTTTTATGAGTGCAGCCTGCAGGCTCCTGTTCATTGCTGATAAAACTGCAGAGTTAATAGTGGTGGCTGTTGAAAAACAGTGTTTTGTAGATGAGAACGTGCTCTATCAAACTGCTACTGTGCTCATTGTATCTGTTGTAGTTTGCATGGAGATAAATAGGAGGCATTGCTTTCAGCATAACGTACGCGTATGCAGCCCAAGACAATTCCTTATCACTCAGTGCATCCCAGGCAACCAAAAGGTTGGACTCTCGTGGGCTAGGTAATAAAAACTTTGGTGTTTAAATGATCTCCTGACAAAAAGAAAAAGCAATCTGGTTAATTTGTGCTCTCTCCTAGAGATTTGTGCTTTGTGCTCTAAGTCAAAATACAGGATTTTGGAAATATAGAAGCTGATTTTGTGTTCTTTCTAATGCAATGACTCAAATAGTTACTCCCTGGAGTGCCTATTTTGGTCACATCTTCATATGGCTTAGCTGTGCTTCTGCCACCTTGGACAACAAAACACAAGGAAGATCAGAAATAGAAAACTGACATGTTTTTGCTTCAGGGACATCATAGCAGCAGGTGTTCTGGGAGAATTCAGTGAATCTGTCTACTGAAACTAATGGAAAATGGGACTGCTCGAGGTCAGACACCTCAGGTGAGAGAAGTTGTCACGATGTATTTGGAAAATTGCATATTGGAAATTTAGATATGTTTGATAGAGTTAATACAAGTGTTAGAATATACATGTGGACCAGCCTTGTAAGAAATGCATCACAGGTGAAATGAATCTGAAATTTTAGTTTTTTAGAATGTGTATTATCTCAAATTCAGCAAATCTATTATACAAATGTTGCCCTCATACTAACAATCTGCATTCACATAAGTGACTCAAATTTGTGTTCATGAAGAACAATATATAACTATCCTGCTACCTTTAAGGGAGAAAAATATTTAAAGAAAATGAGCTATAAATAAAATATAGAAAGGGGTGTAGTGTAGAATGATCAACTTTGTTTAGCAACTCCTGTTATTAGACATACTGTATGTCACCTTTATATGCTGCATGATATCCCTGGCATATAGTAAACATCCACTTCAGCCTGTATTTTCTGTTTCCTTTGTATGTATGTTCTTTATCAATCACAGCTATTATCTGTCATATTTCTATGGAAAATGTATGACAATTTTTGATGACCTACTGGTTTAAATAAATTATGAGCTTTTTAACAAGGCTCCTAGCCTGCATCTCTGCAGGAGATATGCTACAGTCTAGAGGAGTACATTCCTCATTTCCCTTATTTTCAGCACAGAGATTGTCCAGCACTTATTGTGGAAATGGGCTTTAAGTGCCCACTATTCCGAACTCCATCACAGTCAGCTACCAATGTTCTTTCTCCTCGGTTCTGTCTCTGTTCCTGCCCTCACGTGGCCGGCAGTCAGGTGCACTGCTTTACTACTGCAGCCTTCGCACCACAGGCAGTGAGCAGCCCTGCACCCTGCTGGTGCGGGCAGCCAGCTTCTGCCTGTTTGCAGGCTGAGCTGTACCTGCACACCTGGACATAAACACAAGTAGAAGCATGCCATTAATGGATACACGTGAAATGTAAATCACACAAATAATGGAATGTTTCTTTTTCTAACCACGTGGTGCGCAGAAGCACATGTGGCTCATAGTACATACTAGCACATAATTCAAAGAAAGTATCTCCCTGGATTCTTCCCATTTCTGTTTATTATTATTATATGCCCAATATAATGTACAGAATAATGATTGAGAAGATGAGTGATTTTTGTCCATAGAATGTAATTATGCAAGGCTACAAAAATATTTTTGTCAATGAATGACTGGTAACATGAAATGTTGAAAGTTTCATTTAAAATCTATTTAAATTCAGCCTGCTCAAGTGTTAAGTATCCCTGATTTCTAGCATGTATGACTTGTCTGACTCTTTCACCTGCAAGACATACAGTTACCTGAAAGTTACTTCTCTCTAAAATGCTAATGTAATATTAGGAGGCATTTGACCAGCCTAAAGTTTAGCTTGACATGATGATAGCAAAATAATATGAATTCAGATTATACTGCTCCTAAGCTGCATCTGTGTAGGTCACTCTGAAAGTAATGCCTCCTCTTTATTTCCATGGAAACTACAACAGATATAAAGAGCACAATGACACTATTTGACAGAGAGAATTCTCAGCTGTAAAATGCTTTTTCAATACAGTCACTGCCATTAGCTATGCATTTTCACCAGTGATGAATAACAGCCTACATGCCACACTCATAAAAATCTGCACCAGCAGAGGTGACCCACTGTTTCACAGCTGCTGATAGCATTGTTGCTAGGAAAATGTTGCCCAGGAAGCCTGTCTTTCATTAGCCTGAACAGCTGGAAATCAGAAGGTGCTAAATCTAAACTATACAGTGGGTACGGTAGGACAGTCTAGCCAAGAATGGAAACATCCCCAAAGGTCTTCAAACTGATATGGCATTACTTTCAGAGCAGCCCTCAGTGTTGAACTTTTTTAGTTGTTTTTCTGTTAATACCATTGTGTAGATGTGAAAAGTCATTATAAAGTATACTGATTTGGATATTTCATTCTTAGCCAACACAATTAATCCCCAGTAATTTGATCTTTTTTGCATTGTGATTTCTGTGTTAGGAAACAAGACTGAAAATTTCCATTGTACTCTCTGCTTTGATATTGACCCAATTTATGATTTTTGTCACTCAGTGTACCTGTGATTCATTATTCTCACTTCTTAAGAGATGTAATCAATGTTGAAATAACTCATAAACGCGTAGTGAGGTGCTGAAGTATCATAAATAGTGAGCTGGGCAAAAAGTGCTGTTATTAGTTCTTCCAGGCAGTGTTCTACATAATATTAAATTTAGCAAGCGCTCTGTCATTCTACTCATACACTTTGAACAAAATTTTCCATTTATAGTAAGAGCTGCAGGATGAGCTCTGCTTTTTGTTTTGTGCTGCCCTAGGGAACAAGTTCATTGAGGTTTTAGCCAAGTTCTGTTGCCAGTTACCTTAGTGCAGTGTTGGATTTCTAATGCCATTACAGTACTTAAGGGTTGCTTTGAATGGCAGTATTCTAACAGATGTTTTAAAAAACTCTGGAGTCTACAACTGGAGAATGATTCTGAATTTTTAAAACTGTAGTCAGCATAATGGAAGAAGTAAAAAAATGCACATCCTAATTACAGAGGAGATGTTAATGGAGTAATGCACAGTGAATATAAACAGAATATGTAAAGTTGGACATACCTGTTCTGCCCCGTCGTATGCCTCCAGAGTGCACAGGGTGCGTGAATGGGCTTCTGCTGTTCCATCAGCAGCTGAGCTGAGGCTGTTGGCCATGATTACAGTTAGGATCAGTCTGTATAATCTTAGCGCAATTACTTTGCTGCACTGAGAACGTACAATAAAGTACTGCAGATAAGAATCAGATTTCATCAATCAGAAAACAAAGGTTCTCCACGCAAATATGTTAACAAGGATGGAGATCTTCCAGCCCACAAATGGGAGCCACCTAACTGCTTGACATTTAATCATTTGTTAATCCATTTTACAGTAATGGATCCTGACATTTAAATTGCTCCTGATCATATTCACTGGCTGCACATACATTGCCTTCATACAAAAGAGTACAGCTGACACCGAAGGTAGGTTTTTGGCCTGCAAAAGAGTCCTGCTTAACACTTTTGTTAATGTGCAGAGTGGAATGGACTGTAGTTAATCCTGCCGTGCTTAATTTCGCTTTGCAAGACTGGCTGCTTGTTGTCAGTGAAACCAGCACTTCTGGTGGTGCACAGGAAGCAGTCTGGCCAAAGGGGGCTGTTTTTCTACAGTCACTCTTCTATCTAGAACAGCAATTTCAAAAATATGCATCATTTTTGAGGGAATCAAACTGATTGTTTCTTCAGCTGGCAGCAAAGCAGTCGGTACTCCATACAAACTCTTGAGTTTTTCTTTCATTTGGTCTACAGCCTTTTGGTAGGAGAGACTGCTGCTGCAGCATTTAAAGTGGGGAGGAACAAACAGCCACTCAGCCCTATGCTTTTACCATCTGTGAACACGTATCACCAGTGGAAATGATGCACACGCACTGTTTCTCACAGTGTTTATACTCTGAGCTCCCGCTCCCAGCCGCTGCCGTTCCCGCCGCGCTCCGCTCCTCCTCACGGCACGCGCAGCCCATCGCTGCGTGCTGAGCGCAACTGCAAACAGCTCGGCTTGGAGCGCGCTGCTGCTGCCGATGCTGTGCCCCGTGCTGTTTGCTTATAAATAAAACCTCATTCGCACACGCGCTTGACGCCAAGCGCCGCACAGCTTCGCGCCTTGACTGTTGCACCGGGTGACGGACCGAGCCCGGCAGCTCGCGTAGCCCGAAAGATGCTTCACGGCGGGGTTTTAGCTTAGCTACAGCCGCTGCCGCGCTCCGCGCCAAGGCGGATCCAGCCCGGCAGAAGGCGCGGCAAGCCCACCGCTCCACCGCGTCCCGCCGCCCTTCGCCCCGCGGCCTCCCCTCAGCTCCGCGCCGCCGCGCGCGCGCGCTGCTGCCCCCTGGAGGCGGGCGGGCGGGAGCGGCGGAGGCGCGCGAGCCGCAGCGGCTGTCGTGAAGGCAGCGCCTCCCCACCCCGGTCGGCAGTGAGGCGGCGACCGAGCCCGGCTGCGGATCGCAGAGCCCGCCGCGGCGCCCGCCGCCCTCCCGCCCGGCTCCGAGCCCTCGTCCAGCCGCCCTCCAGAGCCTCGCCTTTCTCCCGCCCGGCCAGATGATGAACTTTCTGCGGCGCAGGCTCTCGGACAGCAGCTTCATCGCCAACCTGCCCAATGGCTACATGACGGACCTGCAGCGGCCGGACCCGCAGCAGCCGCCGCCGCCGCCGCCCTCGGCCTCCTCGGCGCCCGCCTCGGGCTCCCCGGCCGCGGAGCGCCGGCAGCCGCCGCAGTCGGCGCCCCCCCAGCAGCAGCCGCCGCCGCCGCAGCAGTCGGCGGGCAGCAGCTTCTTCAGCTCCCTGTCCAACGCCGTGAAGCAGACGGCGGCCTCGGCCGGGTTGGTGGACCCCACCTCCGCCTCGTCGGCCGCCGGCAGAAAGTTCAAGCTGCTGCTGGTCGTCGACGAGCCGCACACGGACTGGTAGGTGCCCCCGGCCTCGCGCTCCCTTCCCTTGCCCGTCCCTCGCGGCCCCGCTCCCCTTCCCCTGCCGCGGGATCCCTGGGGGCGGTGCGGGGCGAGAGGGGCTGCCCGCAGCCGGGCTGGAAGACAGAGCCCGGACCGGAGCCCCGGAGCCGGCAGGGACCGGAGCCGCGTCCGTCGGCACGCTCAATAAAGCTTGTCTGCCGCACCGAAACGGCGTGTCATGTATTCAGTGAAATAAACACCGCGTGCGAGCGCGGGGGGCGCGAGATTGTTTTGGATGCCGTGGCGCTACGTGCGCTGATTCACATCGGTGAGCTTGTTTTCGTGCTCGGCTCACCGCTGCTGAGATGCGTGCTGGGGCGAAGGTCCTTCGGCAGATCGGCGGCGAGCCCGCAGCTGTGCCTTAGCTCTGTGCGTGCGTGTGGTCATTAGGGTAATTAACAGCTGGGCTTTGCTTTGCTTCCCCGTGTGATTTACCAAAGCTAAACTTGTACTGCAACTCGTTCCTTCTGTTGCCCGTGGGAGAGGTCACCGCTTCTTCAGAGCCGTTTGCTGTGTATGACTGTGCTGAATGTTGTCGTTTACAGAAAGATGTACGTTTATTCATCTTTATCATCCTTCCCTGCCGTGTGTTTACGTGTCAAGCTGTGAATCCCTTCACGCAGTGTCACCAATTGCGGTGTATAATATCTAAATTGTGCCTAAAAATAATACGGAGTAAAACAAGTATGTTGTTACAGCACTGACATCATTTGGTAATGGATTGTGGGTCTGTGATTTTACTGTCAGCTTCTCGAATTTGTATCCCCGCTGCCTAGACGTACGTGGGCAGTTCTGATTTGAGATCGTTTGCTTTGAAATGGTACTTTAATATAATATTCAATACAGAAATTTACGCATGATAGAGTGGAATTATCCATAGCAAAGGTACTACGTTCATTAAGATAATGTTACCTGTTATGTTTCCCTTTAAAAGCAAACAACAAACCCGGCAAGGTTGTTGTATCTGCCAGACTACAGAGAGCCTCTGTGCCTACGTCACAGAGACGCATCCATGGACACTGCTCACAGCCTTGCAGATACATCTGTTTATTTGATATTCTACAGTGCATGTATTTCTGCTTGGTAAATTGAATAACTACCCGTGTTCATGAAGTTTGTTTCTGGTACTGAAGCCAACCTGTGTATTATAACCATGGAATGTTTTGCATACTTGATGAATGCATTCAATGTGAACACAGTATTTCAGCAAAATTGAAGCTCGTAAAGGTCTATTTTGTGAATGCCACCAACTGCAGTTCAGGTAGGTGGCCAGATACATTCTCAAGTGTACACAAGGTCATACTTGCCTGCTTTTTCTGTGTTTTTTTCCTTCCGATGGTATGTGATATGGATACATAGTAGTTGTATCAAGAACAGTTTATTGGTACTGTGCTGGTACTGTCTGTTTTCCCTCTGAAAAGCAAACCAGGTTGAAATTGGGGATTTTAAGGTAAGCATTGAAATACAAATGTGTGTATTCTGATAACATATGCAGAAAAGTTTGTTCTGTATCTTTGGAATTTTGGACACCCATGTTGGAAGGTATTGCAACAGGATTTGACTGTATCATGCTTATGAGCAGGCTTGGACTGCACTATAAGTGATAATTATATTGAAGCTGGAAGTGGCAATAGATAAATGACAATGATCTCCTGGCTCTTCCTCCAGCTCCCTGCCTGGTATGATGCACTGACGTAAGATTTAGTGAGATGAGGAATGTAGAGCTGCTGTCATGTGATACATGGAAAAAATACTGTCAATAACAACAAAAACCTCAATACCAAGTAAATCTCTTATGCTAAATATAGATTCCTGAGAAATGATTTCAGCTGATTTATTTAATCCTGAGATTAAGATTACGTGCTGGGAATTTTGAGCTGCATTGTGTTTTCCTTAAATTGAAAGTGTGTCTGTTGCCTTTGGGTTGCAGACTCAATAGAAATCAAAGAATTTCCACCTGAATCATAATGCAATCCTACTAATTCAGTATCCTCTTTCTAGCAAGCTCTGGAGTATGTATTATGCACCTTCTTTTGTGAGCTAGACATATTGCTCCTTAATTTTAGCACCAAAAGTACACTGTGTTTCTGTTATGTTTAATTTCTATTAGAAATTAATTCATGCTTGAAGTCTGAGATGTACTAACCCTTCCAGTGTTGTTGTTGCTACTGGATTCATATGGGTTATTTTACAAATAAATGAATGTCCAGTTGTTAGCATTCTTAATCTTGATCTCAGTGCTTTCTATCATTTTCTTGTTGTAAAAAGCTTTTCCTTTCACAGGCTTTGAAATTATTCTTTTACTGTTTCTTTTATGGCATAAGGAAATTAACTTACCTGTGCTCATTTGCTTATTTTGCCATGCTATCTTGTCTTTAGGGAAAGAAATAAATCTTTAAGGAACGAAAGCAAGTATAGTCACCTTGTCAAACCATGCTCCTTACTCTACTAACACTCAATCAACTCCATGTTAGAACTGTGAAAAATTATTCTCCTACATGCTCTTCCGAAACTTGCAGCTATGTAAATGAGAGGGACCTTCAAGGACTTCCAATAAGACAAGCTGATGTCAAAGGCTTTGTATCAGTTAATACTGTTACTCCTTCCTCCAAGACAAGTAAAGGAATGAAACAAGGATAAGGCTTTCAGTCAGCTTCCATAGGCAAACCCAAGACAAGCTATATTCAGTGCTTCTGGTTCTCCTGGTCTCCTTCTACAACAAATGATCTTTTGGTGCAAAGGTGGAAGAAAACAACAGTCATTTTTGTCAATTATCTTTGAAGCTTTCTCTCATTCTAGGCTATCACTATAAAGAAGGGATGACTTGTAATTCCAACACTCCTTCAGATGAAGCAGTGCTGTTCATTTATATAAAAGCAGTGGAAAAGCTCCTCTTATTTTCTGGCCCATTCTTTATGCATTTCAGCATCATGTTCTTTTCATCTGCAGCTGCATACTAAACAGGTATTTGTAATACCTTCACTGATATCTAGATCCTTTTCCCAAGTTACCACATCTAGTTGAGAACCTTGCAATGTATTTAAAAGGTAGAAATCATTTTGGTGGAAAAACGTATGATTCCAGGCACTTTATGGATCTGTTAGGGAGGGGAAAGCTTCAAAGAACCACTTTTTACCTTTAGACTTTATATAATAGACTTCAGCCTGATTATTTTGCAGGTTTAAGTATCTGTGTTGCTATTTTTACAAATGGAAGAAGCTAAGAAGTAAAATCATTTGCTCAAGGTCATTCAAGAGCCTAGTGACAGAGCTGAAATAAAAGCTAGATATTTCGCTTCACCTTTTCTTTTAATTCTCCTTTTCCAGCTGTTCTGCTGTAAAATTATCAGCTAGACATGTTTATTTTACAGTATATTCAGTTTCTTCAGGAAATAACCATTTTGTTCTGCATGCAAAATGTGCTGAATATTCAGTTCTGTGTGAGCAATTGATTAGAGGGTGTACATCAGTGGCAAGGTGCCAAAATGCTGCGTATGTAAATCCTTGTCTTTATTGAAAGCTTATGTATATTTGGAGAGTTGTTTACATGCTGAAAAGTAACCATTGCTTGGCTGGTCTCGTGCTTCAAAGATTGACTCATTGGCCATAGTGATGAAAGAAGCAGATGGGAAAAGCACAAATCTTGTAAGTATCAGTGTATTTCTGCTCTACTTTTCTCTCCATCCCAATGATTACACATTTCTTGTGACGTCTGCTGCTTTAGTAGTTACCCATCTTGTGATAGGTCCAGAAAATCATTTCCAAAATCCTTGTGCTGTCTATGGGCTAATATTGCTCATCACGATGTTTTTAGTCTTTCTGGCATTGTCTCAGTGCAGAAAGACACTGATTTATGATACAGAAATTTACTTCAGTTTTATTTATTTATTTATTTATTTATTTTGCAGTTGTCCAGGCAACTGAAAACAGTTTCAGTTAAAGATACTTGTGATGTTGTTATGTGTAAGGGTAACTGCCAAACAACTTGCATAGTACAAGTTTTAAAAGTTGTAAAGTGTTTTAAAGTGATCTTAGTGAGGAATTTCATCTGTATCTTAAAGAATTGGCAACCCTGCAGACTCGTTAAGGTTATGGCCTTTGGACTAAGTTCCTAATACTCTTAAAAGTGGGATGGCAAGCAGATTGTTACATGAAACCAGCATGTGCTTAGATAGCTCCTTGCAAGCAGGTAGTTAGACTGGTACTACATCTCAGCGCACATTGCAGTTAACTCTATGCTAAAGCTCTGCATTTTTTAAAATCAAAACAGCAACATACTTAAAGAAGACATGACTGTAACAGAAATGCTAAATCATGGCCTGAACCATCCACCAGATGGAACGCCTGGTGGGAAGTCAGGGCAACCCAGTGGAAATCAGTTGTTTGCAATGCAATGCACCTGAATGGCTGCAAGGGGTGGAGCCAGGATCCACCTCTTCCCAGCCCTCATTTAAGGGTTGGCACTGGAGGTGAGAGTATCTCATTGGAGATTCTTGTGTGCCTGAGGCCTTCTGAAAGTAAGCAGGTTCTTTTCTTAGTTTCTGTGTGCACAGCTGTTGCATTTGAGCAAGTATTCTGTTGCTGCAGCCTAGGACCTTGCTGCTCTGTTGTTACTACTGTGCTTTCTGTGGCATTAGAGCATTATAATGACCAAAAGTAACGTTGCCATGAGCACAAGCAGCATGTCTTTCTGCTGTCTGAGAGGACGGATGAAACAATGTGAGCTGTTCCAGAAATTTTTGTTTTGAATTCTTATCTACTCGTAAGGTATGAAAAACCAAATAGCTTTTACTGAAGGGATGAAGCTATGGAACTATATGCCTTGTTATTTGTTCTTTGTCCCCTTCTTCTTTTTTTTTTTTTTTTTTTTTTTTTTTTTTTAATCTTAAGTGAATGTTGAGCAAGAATTTAAGAAGGAGGGCATGCAGCTGAACCAACTGAAGTGAATGGCATAGT